TGGATTTTTGCTGCATAGGAGAAGGGAAACGTTAAAAACCTTGTGGGAAGTGAAGCCCTTTCTTTACCATAAACAACATTAATCGCTTCTTAGTTTTACCTTAAATGTCTGCATCAATATGTTGATGAGCTAGATAACTAATGTTAACATGTTACCTTTTTGTTGGTCTGGAATACCACTAACGTGGTACACCCACAGTATTCTAGATTTTCTCCTGGCACTTTGGGCCTTCGGCTACTTTTTTAGCTTTATTTTCCTTTTCCCTTTTTCTTTTTTTCTTTCACCTTCTTCCTGTTTTGTCCGAGTTTTGGATCAGTTATGGCCCGTGTAAATATTAAGGCGGGGTTTTTTCTATTTATTTTCATAAAAAAAAATATATGTTTTATAAGATAGACTATTTATTAAAAATATAATTTATTTTATAAATTTATTAAAATATTTGTTATAAAATTATTTTTTATATTATTTTATTAAAAATATTTTAATAAATTTATAGATGAACCATATTACATGAATTCCTCATATATTCTTCCTTCTAGTAAAAGGTTTTTTGTTTTTTGTTTTTTTTTTAGTCCATCCTGTTTTTAAAATCCATTTAAGGTTGAAAAACAAAAAAATTAACAAAAAAATTATTGTATAATTTAGATTGTACAACAAAAATAGCTGAATATAAAGGATAGGTCCTTTGATATTGAAACTCCCTTCTATCCAATTATTTTTATTTTATAATGTGATAAAATTTAAACTACACAATAAAAAACTCATAAATTAATGATACTTTTTTTTTAAAAAAAAAATTCTCACCTAAATTGAACTTTTTAAATGTATAGGCTTGTTTGGTTGGAAGAAAAAAATATAAATTTTTTTATTTGAATAAAAAAAATAGAGAGAATGAAAGAGGATGTAGTGAAATGTCTCCCTTCCATTTCTATCAAACCAAACAAAAGGAGTCCACCTTAACAAATCGTTCTCTTCTTTTTATTTTGAATTTTTAGTGGAATGTATTTGACGACAAAAGCCCTTCAATTTTTCTTAATCACCTCATCTTAATCAAAAGGATTGAGAAATGTATTTTGTTAATCACTATTATTATTTGCAAGATACTAATTTAATTATGAATCCATATAAATTAATAAATATGAAAGTTTAACAATGAATTTTAAAGATTGGATGCTTAACTTTTAACTAAGCTAAAAATAGCTTTTAAAAAATAATAAAATCTTTTGTAGAAAACTACATTCAATCAACTTCAAATTCCATAATAAAAAAATCTTTTTAAAAACTAGGCTAATAAAATCCTAAAGTTAGAAATGAATGTCACTTGGGACCAAAAAAAATATTGCAGCGAAACGCCTAATTGAAGCTTTTACACAAGCTTTTTTAAGTAAGCATCATTTTTGTGTGATTAAAACATTTGATAGAAGTTCCATTTGAGAGAATTTTTTGTAGAAATTTTGTTACTAAGAAACTGAAGAGCATTGGGTGAAATTTTTAACAGAAGCATTTATAGAGTGGAAAAGCTATTTGACAAAATTTTTTTGTAATATATCTTATAATCTAATGCAATGTTAGAAGGTATGTAGGGATAAAAATTAGTATAGAAAAGAGAAT